CTCCTCCTCCTCCTCCTCCTCCTCCTCCTCCTCCTCCTCCTCCTCCTCCTCCTCCTCCTCCTCCTCCTCCTCCTCCTCCTCCTCCTCCTCCTCTCTCTCTCCCTCCTCCTCCTCCTCCTCCTCCTCCTCCTCCTCCTCCTCCTCCTCCTCCTCCTCCCCTCACCGGCGGCTCCTGCATGTGCTGCTCCATTAGATCCGCGGACGACATTGGAGTGGTTGGCCCGCAATTAACCACCAGCACCCCCCGATCCCTCCTCTCACACCCACCCCTCTCCACAATACCCCCACCCTACCATTTGAACAAGTGGCCGTACTACCCCCATTTCCTCCCCTCTAACCACCCTCGTCAAGTTTGAAATTCCCGTCCTCATGTACCAACTGACTACCCCACCCTTTCCTACAAGACCACCCCACCAATTCAACCACCCATGGTCCCACTCTCCCTTGCAGTGACTGTAAAGTACCCCTCCTTTCTACGGATTACTACCCCACCCATCCTTATCTCGGCAAGACTAGAACCATTTCCCTACGATGGCCTCTGATACTACCCCACCCCCTGAGCCTCCCTCCGGATCAAAACCTACTCAACTACCCGTACCCCTAGAAATCTTGTTTTCTTAATTCCTTAATTGATCCATTCCTTAATTCCTTAATTCCTAGTCTTGTTTCTGTATATGTGCATTACACCCCCACATTCCCTATAAAGTACCCACCCTTTGGTACCGATCAGAATTTACAACCTCTTGTCAAATTATTACAGATGATCCTTACATACGTTATCATCCGTTACTTAGTCCCGAATCATGTAATACCTACCCCCTACCCCTACCCCCTATTACCCATCCCCTAGCCCCCATGGCCCTAGTGCATTTTTTTCAAACGAAAGAACCCCCTTGCCGCCTGAACACTGGACCACCCCTGCGAAGTATACCGATACCCCTTTTTAAGCACTATTTTGAAGGGGTACTGTACAGCCGACTTTTCTTTCAAAAGGTCATCGGCAGCCAACAAGATCAGACCCCGGGTACCACCCACCACCCAGCACTTTCATCTCACCACCCCACCCTTTCCCAAACACTTGAGTGGAATATCGAACACCGGTGGGGTGCTACACCCCATACAAACTACCCAACCTCATCAAATTAATTTACATGAGATACCACCCACCATCACTAGTATATTTCAGAAGAGAAAACGATATCCCAAAATGTACCCCCACCCCCATTTTAGTAACTCATTTTAGTACCCCACCACCTCTATCAGCTTCCCAACCGCTTCCTACCTCTACCCGCCGTCTCTCAATTTGAATAAGGTGCCAAACCACCCACCCCTAGATTTCAAATTTTCAGACCCTACCCATGAGAAGTTACAGTATCCCATCTACCCCCTTGAAAAATCTTACCACCGGTACACATGACTTGATGACCCCCTATTTGTTCTCCTTACTACCCCTGCCATGGCTATCTTCTAACATCCTCACCCCTACCTACTTGGACCCCTACCTGCTCAGTGTTCCCTAACTGCCTTGGGTGAATACCCACCTCTACGCTACTTTCCGGACCCCATACATCAATGACCCCACCTTACGTTTCACAACAATCAAAACATGGACCCCTCCTTTTACCATTGCATACCCACCTGACTCATATAACTATTGCGTGTTATATACTACCTCTACCCTATTGTGTTTTACCCCACCCCTCCAATTTCGAATACTACCGGGGGGTGGCTGCCTACCACCCTGTTAATTTTACCACCCCCACCCCACAATCTAGCTTGTGCGTGCGCCGCAATGGACTTCCCTACCCTCGGCACTGCTTCTCCTCCGCATGTACGCAAAGCTCGGCACCACCCGTCCTCTTCTGCTCCCTCCTCCTCCTCCTCCAAGTCGGGCGGTCAGATCTCCTCCAACTCGAGCAAGGGACTCAAGGGCTCCACGCGCCTTGAAACCTCGGGGAGGTCGCATGCCGTGTCACCTGCAGTGTCGGATGCCCTCTCATCCTCGGAGCACATCATCGCTCCGAGTCCAGTCGCTGCTCCAGACGAGGAAGAGTATCGATCCAAGGTGGAGGGTGTTGAGCGACGGATCAAGGAGAAGGAAGAGAAGATTGTGAGTTGTCTCTCCCGTGCATGCTGCGTAGTCTCTGCCTCGAAAATCTCTGAGCTGATCGGAGGGGTGCCAGCTCTGCCATTGAATTTCATCTGATGCATGAACGCATTCTTGTTGTCATCTCTCTTGCCCATCTCTTGTGCATACTCTCAACCCTCTGTTGTAGTCTTGCGCACTTTGTTGTTAGAATCCTTTCTCGTCCACGAGTTGATGAAACTGTGCTGAGCATTCCCGCAGGCTGCACTCACACAGGAAGTGGAGCGTCTGAAACAGATTCGATCTGAACGCGATGGGAGGAATAAGAATTTAAGATCACAACTGCAAGATGCTCGAGCTCAAATCCGCAGTTTGACCGCAGAGAAGGACTCGATGTTAGATGAAGCGAAGGAGGCGGCTGAAGCAGCCAAGGCGCAGGTAGATGATGAGGTGGAGATGTGTTTGAATCATGCTGATTCTCGGTTGCGTCAGGAGGCTGAAGCAGAGAGCATGATGCATGCACTTGCTAGAACAGATCTCTCAGTGATCGAGGAGGAGATGAATGAGATCACCACGAAGTTGGAAAAGGGGGAGGCTGATCTCAAGACTGAGAAAATGATGATCAAGAGCCTGAAGGATCTGGCAACAGAGAAGCATGCTGTGATGCAATGGATGGAGAGCAAGAACTCGGTGGGCCAACTCTCTCAGCGTCACGACGATCTGCTTGAAGGGAGGAAGCAGAAGCTGGAAGAGATCAATGAGCTCAAGGAGAAAGAGAGGGATCTCCAGAACCAGCTGGACAAGGCAGCTCCCTCCTCTGCTGGAGAATGCGGAAATGTTAACGGGAAGATCAACGATGTCCTCCAAGAGAAATCGTTCCTCGTCGAAGCGCTGAAGCTTGATCGACAAACGCTCAAGGATGCCACGATCCAGCACAAGGTGAAGTTAGCGGAATACAGGTGAGAATCTGCAGTGAGACGTCTGTCGTTGTGATCGTTTGCTGCTGCAGAGAGTATCAGAAGATCGCTTCTGCGTATGAGAAGAAGTTGGAGCGCCAAGTGGTGCAGAGGCGGAAGCAAGAACAAGCCGCGATTTCCCGGCAGTACAAGGAGGAGAAGAAGGAGAGGGAGAAAATAATGGAGAAGAGGCATCTAGCAGTGGCTTGTGGCTGTCAGCTTTTTGTTGGGGGGCTCTCTTTTCGATGCTCTGAGGAGATCCTTGCAGAGGAATTCTCTACTTACGGAAGAGTTACGGACGCTTTTGTTGTGCGAGACAACGAGACGAAGAGCTCCAGAGGCTTCGGCTTCGTTACGTTGGCAAACGCGGAGCAGGCGAATGCAGCAGTTGACAAGCTAAACGGAGCTGACGTGCCGTCGATCGGGGCCAAGCAGGGGTTGACAGTGAAGTTGGCAGAGAAGAGCAAGCAACAGCTGGACTGGGAGGAGAAGAACGGAGAGATGATTGACAAGTACAAGGAGGAGCACGAGGCTGCTGGTGCGGAGGACCATGTGCACCCAGTCGCTAATGGCATCAACGGTGGATCGCACAAGGCTCCGGTCAAGGAGGTCGAGGCGGAGCCAAACTTCGCGCTGGTTGTGGAGGGTGTGAACGGAGTTCCAACAAGCAACGAGTGGAAGAAGGCACTACTCTCCTCCTCCTCCTCCAAGGACAACAAGTGAGGAGTCAAGAGACTCTAGGGGTTAAATGGTGAGAATTCTCGTAGCTATCATGTGAATTGAAATAGGTTAAGTGAAGGTTGACTAGGAATTGACATGTCAGATTCCCATATTTATTTATTCGGGGCTCTTTAGTTTTTCTCTTATGGTTTTTCAACGAACTCGCAATATGAAAACATTACCTCGGCAGATATTTTTTTGCGAATTCCATGTGGGATCAAACTAGTAATGAATAGAAGACTGGACACAGCAGACTAGGGCTGAATCCTGCCTGCCGCGCATCGTTGCCCTTGCCAACGTCAGTGAGGCCGAGGATGGCAAAGGCTGGAGCTCGCACATCACACGCACCACAGAAACCGTCGGTGAGTTTCAACAAGCGTTGCTCCAGCTGACATAGCAAAGCCCCTGCACGTGTGCGCTGCTCCACTCGCCAACCACTCTCTCCGCCTCTTCGCGCGGAAACGCCACCAACTCAAACAATCTTTGCAGCACCAAATACGAAAGAACGTACATTACACCCAGGGCAACAACCATGTTGTCCCTCTCAGTTATCCCATGCGTCATCTGTCCACCTCGAGCCGCCTCCTCCACCACCACGATCTCCTCCTCCGCGGTCTCCTCCTCCACGATCTCCCCAACGGTCTCCCCAACCCCCGCCAGATCCATAGCGCCCTCCTCCTCCTCCTCCTCCCCACCTGACGGAAAAGCGTGAGGCCACAACCACGTGCAATGCAAAAAAACTCACCTTCCACCCCTCTGCCTCCGTATCCTCCCCCGCTGCCAAAACGAGCACTTCTTGCCATCTCGTCAAGGAATGGTGGAACTTCTTGTCGGGCGTCAACCAAGATTTTCTCAAGATCCTTGGCCAAGCGAGCATCCTTGGGAGTGATGAAGGACTGTGGCCAGACTCACTGGATCGCACACCATTTAGTGAACTTACAGTTGCTTGCCCATCGTTTCCAGCACGTCCCGTACGGCCAATACGGTGAACGTAATCTTCGATGCAGTTTGGCATGTCGTAGTTGACCACCTAACCACGCTCAACACTTGTCTCAACCATAAGAGGTTGTTGAATACCATAGCAACGTTGGGGATATCAATGCCACGGGCGCAAACGTCGGTCGCAACCAGAACTTTCTCCTTGCCTGCCCTGAAGGAGCGAAGAGCCTATTCCAATGTCGCATAAGCAAAGGTAACGAGTAAAAGCATGAGCAAACGCACCATTTCACGCTCGGGTTGGCTGCGATCTCCATGGATGGAAGTGGCAGGAAAGCCCTCACGGTACAAGAACTCCTCGAGCATGTCGGCTTCACGCTTCGTTGCGACGAAGACCAGAACACGCTCTCCTTCTACTCCTTGCGAAAGCAGAACATCTACCAACATCCCGCACTTCTCCTGATTGTCACGAGCAAACAGAATCTTCTGGACGATGGTGTCTGTTGCAGCACCAACCCTCCCAACGGTCAAAGTAGCAAAGTCACGGCGCAAGAAATCCTGAGACGAAAGCAAGTGAGACCATTCATCAGGAGAGACGCAGTCTGAACCTGTGCAAGGCGCTGGACCTCGCGCGGGAAGGTGGCCGAGAAGAGGAGAGTCTGACGCATGTCGTTTCCAGGCATATCAGAATCTTCCACGATGCGACGGATCTGAGGTTCAAAACCCATGTCCAGCATTCTATCAGTAAATATTAGAAGGTTTGAATGTTCCAAATGAAAGTGAATTATAAGTGAATCATACCGATCAGCTTCGTCAAGGCACAAGAACATGACGTCGCATAACTTGACTTTGCCTCTCTCCATGAAGTCTACAAGGCGTCCAGGAGCAGCAGCAATGATGTCAGCTCCACGCTCAACTTCCCTGTGCAAGGCAGAAGGTTATATCCGTCCTCAAACTGCAGGCTCAGAGGCTTCACCTCAGCTGGTCACGGATGTTCTCTCCGCCACCATACGCTACTGCGCATCTGAGGCCAGTCTTATAGCAGAACTTCCGGGCTTCATCGAAAATTTGCTGAACAAGCTCGCGGGTCGGTGCAAGAATGAGTCCGCGGGGGTACGACGACCTTCCATTGCCCGCTGGCGGCGCAGGTGGGGCTTTCAAGATCACCGAGATCATCGGAAAGAGGAAAGCTGCAGTCTTGCCCGAGCCCGTTTGGGCGCACGCCATGATATCGAAGTTGGCGACTAGAATAGGCAATGCAAACTTCTGAACAGGGGTCGGTTTCTTGTAACCAGCCCTGTTGATGTTGTCCATGATAGGTCCAGCCAAACCAAGGTCATCCTGGAAGGTTTCTATGCTCCTGACACCGATCTTCTCCATCGATGGCGCGACCTCTACTGGAATATCTTCATACTTGTCGAAGTTAATCCCCGTTGCATTCTTGGAAGACTCAAAAAGTTTGAGGATCTCTTCTTCCTCTCTCCTGCTCATACCGCGATTTCCTGATCGAGATGAGCCCCACCTGGACACAAAGTCAGTATGAAAATTTTCTGCACCAACAGTAAGTCACCTGTCTCCTCCAAAGTCTCGTCCTCCTCCCCCTCCTCCTCGATCTCCTCCTCCCCACCTGTCTCCACCGAAATCTCTTCCTCCTCCCCCTCCTCCCCCTCCCCATCGATCGCCAGATCGCCCTCCACCAACACCACCTCCTCCTCCTCCCCAGCGATCTCCTCCGCGATCTCCGCCGCGATCTCCGACGCCGCCGCCGCCGCCGCCGCCGCCGCCGCCGCCACCACCACCACGTTCACCCCAGCGATCTCCGCCGCCCCTGTCTCCCCAGCGATCCCCTCCTCTCCCCCCACCACGATCCCCCACCTCTCGCCACCGCGCGTCCCCACCTGTCTCCACCCCTGTCTCCTCCTCCTCCACCACCACCACCACCACCTCCTCCTCCTCCTCCCTCTCCATTCTCTTCTGCAAGTTTCTTGCGCAAATTTGGTGGGATGTACTTTCCCGCCGGCTGCGAAACACAAAAAGCAAAGTCAAAATCGCGCAATGGGACCGTCTCAAGGAGCTCAACCAAACATAGTTTTACACACGTGCTGAATGGTCAAGCGCAAGTTCCAAGGACAATCGCATGCAAACATTAACACATATTATTCCAAGGCAGGATCACATAATATCCTCGCCATCGTGAAATCGAAACAAGTAGGTTTCCATGTTCAAACAAGAAGGGGCTCAAAGCAACACTTCAGGTGGCATCAAATAGAGCACAAGGCGAAGCGAGGCATGGAGCTCATCACAAGTACGAGACAGAGAACTCCATGACAAGATGCAGGCGATTGTGATGCTGAGACAGACGTTTGCACTCGAGAAGTGCAAAGACAATATGAACGAAGGGAAATGTAGGGCAGCCAGAAATGGTGAGCTGAGTCAAAAAGAAGGAGAGGAGAGGAGAGGAGAGGAGGAGGAAACTAGGAAGTGAAAGAGGAGGAGGGTTAGGAGAGGAAGGGTTCAGAGGGAGTCGACATGGAGGAGCGAACGACCTTTGGGACTGCGCCCTCCTCTCTCGCGCCATCCGCCATGGCTCCGAAAACCTTTTTTTCGCACTCAGGGGTCCATTCTTCCCAGTAGGAGTCTCCCCTCTCCACTTTTGATCAGTCATGAAGGTTTACTTTGTATATAAAACCATATTGACTAATAATTCATCCATCATGTAAGTGAATATATGTGGATTAATTGGAGCTTACACAGAGAACGAGCACCGAAAAAGGACCCCCTGCGATAGAAAAAGAACTCAGGCTGGCGCACGAGGCGAGGCCGGTACCGGTGAATTATAAGTGGTTGTACAAGTTTTAGAAAAGATACTATGAGAGTAAAAATATAATATATGTTTTATTTTTTCTGGAGTATGGTATTTGTTTGTATAAAAGAAAAATATTTTTTGTATAATCTAAAATTGAAATAGTTCTGTGCAGGCTATTGGCAATGCAGTGGTAGAAAAAATGATAAACTTATATGTATATAAATAAATACATATTCATGTCAAAACACTTTTCAAATAGCATAAAATGGATAAAACTATTATTGATATTGTAAAACGCACATGGTACAAATATCGCAGGGATTTCTCGAGCTTTAAAAATATGTTAAAGGATAACCCCACCCTGCAATTGCATCCCAGCCGCTTCAGCCCACCCCACCTCAAACTTGACCACCCCCCTCATCATCACACACGGGTGATTTTCAGGCCACACATATTGGGGGCACATGAACCCATGAAGCCGCCCCCACGGTCTATCGGAGGGTCGTGGGCAGGTGCTGCAGGTGTTGTCAAAAGGGGGTGGGGTGGTCGCTAAAAGGGGGTGAACTGTGAGCGCACGTGCCGCCCGGCGGCGTAGGGGGCGACCAGCTTTAAATGACTAAAACGTTAGAAGTTTATAGTTTTATAGTATGAGCTTTATAGTATAGAACTACAGATAGAAGTTTTATAGTATAGAACTACATAGAAGTTTATAGTATAGAACTACATAGAAGTTTTATGGTATAGAACTACTAGCTGTTTGACTCGGTGATGCCCTGGAAGCCGTGGAATTTCACCACTGCCACTGAGGCTAGGCCGCCCCGCGCCCTCGGGCCGACGCCGCTGAGGCTCCGAGGCTCGGAGGCCGGGCCCGCCGGTTTCACTTCAGTGTTCCGAGCGGTGCCTCACTAGCCTATCGCGGCTGCCAGCCTGACTCCGGCGCATGAGATGGCGATCGTGACTGCTCAGTTTATCCGTGACTCGCCGTCCGATTAGCGGCTCACTGAGTCAGCCGGCTTGCGCCGCCGCCGCCGGGCGGCCCCGGGGGCCCCCGGCGACTCGCCGGATCCGATGACCGACTCGGGCCGGCCGCTACGGCGGCGTTGTCGGCCGCAGACGCCGGTCCCATGCGGAATGATGCCGCGCGGCCCGGCGGCGGTCATTCAACCCGGAAACTTGCCCTGTTCAACGGTGATCCAGGCCTGGAACAGTGGCACGGTCAGGACCGTGCTGCCGCTGAGCGGGGCGCGGCACGGGCCCGGTCCGAGGTCCGATCCGGCGACGGTCCCGGAGTACCCGGTAGTGACGCCGGTCACCTGGCAGTGGAATGATGATCATCAGCGGCATCTCGGACTGACCGGCGCCCGGGCGCCGAGGTACGGTGATCCGGGTACGGTGACCGGGCCGGGCCTCAGTACCGTGACGGTAGTAAAAACGGTTGAGACTGCTGAGTCACCTTCGCCGCCGTGTGACTGACGCCGCGAACAGCGGCAAACTTGAGACCGTCGTTCCGAGTCCCTACATCCCCGTGAAAAACACTGACAGTCGGAGTTTCATGATTCTCAGGCTGCCCTAGCTTCTGAAGCCTGTCTCATTGATGCCCTTCCATTAACCATGATTCATCTTACTACACTGCCCCTCATTGAGTCAGTCCTCAGGCTCCTCCTCCTGCTGCTGCTTCCCCCGCATCCCGCCGACAACGGGAGGTTAAATCATCGTGCTGCTCTCACAAATCGATCCTGCCACGAGTTCAGCGGGGCATCCGCAGTACGGCGACACAACTTAGTACCTCCAGCTGCTCCCCAGCCACACCGGACTCCCAGTAGCTGCGGATCGGACCTGCTCTGGATCGCGGACTGCTGTTGTCGGTGTCGACGCTCAAGGGGGAGCTAATTATGACGCTTCCTGCCTCCTGGGCCTCCTTGAGCAGGATGGCAAGCTGAGACAACGAGTCAGTCAGCTCACTGGAGCAGGGAGAGCACTGAAGTAGCAAGCACCGAGCACGAGCGCCGTGTGCGAGAGGTGGAAGGGGGGAGAGAGGAGGAGAGGCAGGACGGTTACCTGCACTTCTAGGTTGGAATGAGCTCGATTGAGGCCCGGCAGGCGTGGCTCATCCCCGTCGACCTGCAAGGAACAATGTGAGCAAGGGGAGGAGCAACGAGAGAAGAGGAGGAAGTGGTGGAGGAGCAAGGTGATCGAGGAGGGTGGAGGACGAGGAGGAAGGGTAGAGGAATGACGTGGAGGATCACCAGCGAGAGCGGGGATTCAATCATTGAGCTGTCGGCTGAGAGGATGGGGGTGAGACTGCAAAACCGAATGCAGACAAGGCAGACCTGTGCTCTTCTCAAGATCCGGGAGCTCCGCGATGACCGGCTGCATCGAAAACGTTTTGCTGACGTCATCGCCCCAGCCCTCGTCACTATTCGATCGCATTCTCTCTTCTACCATCGCCCTCGCTCGCTCCTCCTCGAACGCTCGGTGCCAGTCTGATGCTGTCCTCTCCCCATCCGACCTCCCCGTGCTCTGATTCGCCGACCCAGTCGATCGCATCCTATCTTCTGCCATCGCCCTCGCTCGCTCCTCCTCGAACGCTCGGTGCCAGTCTGATGCTGTCCTCTCCCCATCCGACCTCCCCGTGCTCTGATTCGTCGACCCAGTCGATCGAATCCTCTCTTCTACCATCGCCCTCGCTCGCTCCTCCTCGAACGCTCGGTGCCAGTCTGATGCTGTCCTCTCCCCATCCGACCTCCCCGTGCTCTGATTCGTCGACCCAGTCGATCGCATCCTATCTTCTGCCATCGCCCTCGCTCGCTCCTCCTCGAACGCTCGGTGCCAGTCCGAGGGTGTCTTCATGATGCTTGTCTCGTCCGTACTTCGACGTGTAGCAGAGCTGAGTTCTGAAGTCTCTTCTGACGATCTGAAATCTTGGTCGCCATCTGGATAGAGGGCACAAGAATCAAGGGTTGGCAATTAAACATGGCAATGTCTCAACATAGGGCGACAGATCAAGGGACGAGGAAGGGATTATCGAGCTAGAAGAACGACATTCTAACACTCGAGTCAAATGAAACATCTGCAGAAGTCACATGACGAGACGGGGACATATCATACATGCATCAGGCACATAGAGCTGCGTTTGAGGTACCGGGATGAGAATCATAGCTTGACTTGTCCCTCACACTCAAAGCATCCATGATCGTTCCTTCCACGCTCAGCGTGTTGTTCGCCAAGGATGGGTCGTCATGTCTATCAGCATTCGGTCCAAAACATTCTAGATAGATCAGAGTAAGTTCGCGATACAAGTTATAATCAAAATCAACGCCCTGTACCTTGATCACCATCCAACCGATGCCCGTGCGTTATTCTCTCATTCTTGTCGACATCGTCAAGAAAGGGTATGATAGGGCAGGAAACTTGACTTGCATCTTGCACCATCTTAGTTTGATTATCACAAACTTTGATGAATTCCTCCTCACTCCCTCGCTCAATCTTTACCGACCCTCCGTAGATCAAGCACTGTTCGCTGACGACTATCTTGCTTTGGATCTTGAGGTCTTCTCCGCTGTAACAAGTGCTGTCCCCTCCTATGTAGTTCTGGCTAGTGTCTCTCGTCTTCTCCCTACTCTCTTTGATCCCTGCTCTCTTCTCTATCCCCTGCGCCACGTCGACCTTGCCGCATAGCGCCCCCATGTCGAAACCATCCAGCGATATTGCCAGACCACCCACGTACCTTTTAAAAACAGTTTTTGGTACCCCTACCCCCTCATAATTACCTTGCCTCTTGATCACCCACCCCAGCACCAAATTATGAAGCTGCTGGAATTTACTACCCCTGCTCTTCACATTCTGTACCCCACATCTGCAGAGAAGAAGTCCCCACCCCATCCCACCCATGAAGTAAACACACAGGAATACCACCCCCCTTGTCGTATCAACTACCCCTCCCCACTACGACTCATTAGCACCCCCACCCCCTGGGGGTGCTAGGGAGGGAGGGAGGGAGGCAGGCAGGCAGGGAGGGAGGGAGGCAGGCAGGCAGGCAGGCAGGCAGGCAGGCAGGCAGGCAGGCAGGCAGGCAGGCAGGCAGGCAGGCAGGCAGGCAGGCAGGCAGGCAGGCAGGCAGGCAGGCAGGCAGGCAGGCAGGCAGGCAGGCAGGCAGGCAGGCAGGCAGGCAGGCAGGCAGGCAGGCAGGCAGGCAGGCAGGCAGGCAGGCAGGCAGGCAGGCAGGCAGGGAGGGAGGGAGGGAGGGAGGCCGCCGTGTGAGAGGGTTGAAGAGGAGGAGAATGTACATAGTGCACACAATACATAGATGGGAATCTTACATGCAGACACAGATGGGAATGTTACATGCAGCTGGGAATACCCAGAAGATAGAGAACCGTCCGTGATCCTCAAATACGGGTTAATACGACATCGTTCCCGATCAGTGACTTGGCAGCCACCGTAGAAGATTATCAGAGCTCTGCTGTAAAGGTGAGCTCGAAGGCTGCAGGAAGGAATCTCATTGAGCAGGAGTGGGCAGAAAGAGAAGCTATGGTCTTCTCTTACAGCCACGAGGGGTCTGTTCTTCCCCTTGCTGTGTGTGCCACGAATCGATAGTGTGTTCGTGTTATCAAATAAACTTCATATCTCTACTCCTCACCCTGGTTTGTGTGTGATCCAGCGCAGGTACCTTGAGCATCAAGAAGTTCGCTGTAGACGTCTGCAACCCGTGAAGAGGCTTCGGGGTGTGACAAGAATGAACTCGGAATGCACGAGCAGATATCATCTGGCTATCCTGTTGCCACTGGCAGTTCACCACACGGCTCTCAGGACGACTCGTCCGAATCACGTTTACACTCAGCGCAAGACTCAGATCTGGCACTCAATTATGGACTGCAGCAGCCCATCAGCTTGGTGGCTGCCACTGTGACAAGTTTCTTCATGGACTTCCGTTTGACCTCCGGCGCCGCATTGCGGCCCCACCGGATAAATGCCACCATCTTCAGCCTTCTCCATCATCCTGGGGGGACCGTCCTACCGCACAATGGCAACTTGCCAACCTGCCGCGTTCAACGGTTGCAGGCACCGCGTTCACGAGTCGGAAGTTCAACGCCGGTTCTCAGTACCCTCACTGATCCGAAAGATTCAGGCGTGACAACTGAAGGTAGTAGCTCAGGCTAAAGTTAAGCCTGACTTACAGTTATCATGATGAGCACCAGCAGTGCCGGGCGGCACCGTGCCAGTCACGCCGTGGTCCGATCGGTGGCGACGGGCCCGGTCCGGGCCCGGCAGTGTTCGGCGACCGGACTCTCAGTGTTGGCTGTGAATCGATCCTGCATTTTTAGTTAACTTTGCTGCGAAGGGCACGAGGAAGATGCAGGGAGAGGGAGAGGGGAAGGAGGAGGAGAGGAGGGCAGGAGGAGGAGAGGAGGAGAGAGGTAGAGGAAAGAGGTAGAGGATGAGATGAGAATTGATATTCAGGGGAGAACAGGAGGAGTAGAAGAAAAGTGAAGGGAGAGAGGAGGGAGGCATGAGTCCATGAAGCAGAAAGCAGCAGGGACTAGCGGGTAGAAGGGAGAGGGAGGGGAGAGAGGAGAGGGCTTGAGATGTTGAAGAAGGGTAATGAGTAGATCAAACATCCAGGGGGATTAGTGAAGTTTGTTGAGGCAGCGAGCAAGGGAGAAAATGGAAGCAGCTACAGACGGGATAGAGCGATCGGAAGGGAAAGCAGGGGAGGAAAGAAAATGCATCGGCAGTAAGAAGGAGACTGTGATTGATGGAATCAAGATGGCTCATTGGGAAATTGACGTGTAGATAGATACAATGATATAGGTGTCTGAGGACCCTGGATGAGCGACACGTTTTCTTTTTTTGAGCATATTTGAGATGGTGACCATGACCACTCCGAGAGCTACTCGGATGAGGGAACTATCTGCTTGAGAAAAACTAGGAGAAGGTGTTGTAGTTGCTGTAGGAGTACGAGTACGAGTACGAGTACGAGTACGAGTACGAGTACGAGTAGAAGTTGTGTAGGAGGATGGTTGTAATGGTTGTTGTGGTAGTAGTCGTGGTAGTCGTGGACGCCGGGTAGTATGAGGAGAGTTAGTGTGACAATGTGATAGAGGGGTGTTGTTTTTCCCCAAATTGGCACGTTGAGGGGATTCATGCGAAAGCATGGCTATTGGGATGGTTGAAATGCCGAGTGAATCATCGTTGAGGCACAAACTAGCAGTAGCATAAGATCGAGAGAGAGTAGTACAATGCTATGACCTTCTTTCTCTATCCAAACACTGAGATCATCATACATGTGACTGACCTGATTCTCTTACTCAGGTATTGCAAGGAAGAATTCTATCGCTGGCAGATGTCTTCTCCACACTAGAGAGGCTCGGAGCATCAGTGAATTTAAAGCATTATGGACGCAGTGTTCGGATACGGATCGGATGAGGACAACAAGTCCAAGTCTCAGGGCTCACTTGCCATCACAGTGCAAGCGGCTCCCGATGTGGGCAAGGCAGATCTCACGAGCGAGACTCAAAAGATGGTGGCGAACAACTCCAAGATGGTCACCTACAACCCCTCCTACGAGGCTCTGTGGACCCCCGAGGCCGGGCCGTCCAACCCCTACTACCAGAACGGCATCACTCCAGGCATGCGGAACACGCTGGGGGGCTTCATCGAGCGAACCAACGTGGCAGATTTTCACTTCGAAGAGCAGCACCAAACCTTCAACACCTTCGGGTTCGCGATGGACCCTTCGGCCGCTAACGACAGCATGTTCGGCTCCAACATAGTCGGCGACCGTTCGGCATGGAACCTGATGCAGGGGAGGACTGTCCATCAGGCCACCAAGCGTGATGCGAAGAAGAGGAAGCTTGACGACTCGGCAGCTGAACAGGTGCTCGCTGGTCTGGGCACTGCGATGACGTCAGAGGAAGCTGCGGAGATGGCTCAGGACGTGAAGGCCATCGAAGAGGCGGAGAAGGCGGCCAAGGAAGCAGCCGAGACGGTGAAGGAGAAGGCAGAGGTCTCCATCTTTGAGGCCTCGAGCATCTTTCATGGAAAGGAGACAAAGGATTACCAGGGTCGAACTTGGATCGATGCGCCGACCGACATCAAGGCGGTTGAGCCTCAATCCTACATTCCCAAAGTCTCCGTTCACACCTGGTCTGGTCATACCAAGGGAGTTCAGGCGATCCGCTGGTTCCCCAAGACAGGCCATCTGCTGCTCTCTGCTTCCATGGACTGCAAGATCAAGATCTGGGATGTTTACAACAATCGCAAGACTCTCCGCACTTACATGGGTCATCAGAAGGCCGTGAGAGACATTTGCTTCTCTACCGATGGCAGGCAGTTCGCGTCCGTCGGCTACGACAAGGTCGTGCGGTACTGGGACACAGAGACTGGGACTTGCCTGAAGAGCTGGAGGTCAAAGGGTATCCCATACTCGGTGAAGATCCATCCAGGCGACGACAACATCCTCGCAGGCTCTTCCTGCAAGAACATCCTGCAGTGGGACCCAAGGCACCCCAACAGGAGCTCGCTGGTGCAAGAGTACATCCAGCACCTCGGCGCCGTCAATACCGTTACCTTCATCGACGGGAACAGGAGGGTCGTGTCGACGGCCGACGACAAGAAGCTCTTCCTCTGGGAGTACGGCATCGGTACCGCTCCCATGAAGCACATCAGCGAACCCTGGATGCATGCCATGCCCGCAGTCACCGCCGCCCCCTTCGACAACGGCAACCCCAAGTACCTGCTGTGTCAGTCGCTGGACAACCAGATCCTGTGCTACATGAGTGGAGACAGGTAAGGCCGGCCAGCGCTGCCTCCCGTGCTTGACGGTCGCGCAGGTTCAAGTTGAACAAGAAGAAGCTCTTCGTGGGGCACACGATCGCTGGATACGCATGCCAGGTGGAGTCACGTTGCGATGAGATGGTTTGCAGGTTTGCTGAGTGTTCTGTCAGGTTGGAGTTTCGCCCGATCTCAAGTACGTCCTCAGTGGCGATGGAGATGGTGCGTTTCCTGCACTCTCCTCCTCCTCCTCCTCTTCCTCATCCTTATCCTCCTCCTCCTCTCTTCCTCCTCCTCCTCCTCCTCCTCCTCCTCCTCCTCCTCCTCCTCCTCCTCCTCCTCCTCCTCCTCCTCCTCCATTCTTTCGCTCGTTTCCCTTCTCACTGGTTTGCTAGGTCGACTTTGGCTGTGGGACTGGAAGTCTGCCAAGGTTTACCGCAAGTTCAAGGTGATATCAGCTAGGAGTCGACGCGTCTGACGC